TAGAACGAGTGGCGGAGACTTTTCCGTTTTCTGCTTTGAGAATGTCATTCAAAGGTCGAGCTATTGAAGCAAAGTCCTTTATAAAGCAGCGGTAATAGCTTGCTAACCCTAAAAAGGATCTAACGTTGAACAAATTAGTGGGTTCTTCATAGTTAAGGATTGCCTCTACTTTTTTAGGATTTGTTGTGATGCCGTCTTTGGATACAATGAATCCCAAATATTCGACACTTTCCTTAAAGAAGTTCGATTTCTCCTTGGACACCCTCATGTTAGCTTCAAGTAGTCTATCTAGTACCCAACAAATATGATTCAGATGGTCCTCAAGTCGCTCAGAAAAAATAATAACGTCATCAACGTAAACAAAAAAAGACTTTCCTATTTGAGGCCTGAGTACGTCATCTATGGCACGTTGAAACATACTGGGTGCGTTTTTGAGGCCAAAGGGAAGTCTACAAAACTCGTATTTTCCATGTGCAACTGAGAAAGCGGTTTTCTCCCTATCATTTTCTGCAAGTAAGATTTGATGAAAGCCTGACTTTAGATCTAATGTTGTAAAAAATCTGGCTTTTCTCAAATTTGATAGGATGAATACAACATTTGGCACCGGGTATTTGTCGTCCACTGTCATTGAGTTTAGCTTCCGAAAGTCTATAACCATCCTCTTTTTGTTATTTCCCTTTTCATCTGTACCCTTTTTGTCGACAACCCAAACCGGATTGTTGTAGGGTGAGCGCGAAGGTCGAATAATTCCGTCTTTTAACAACGCCTTCGTTTCTTTATTTACAAAGTCTGCTACGCCCATGGGATATGGATGAAGTCTTGAGTATACTGGTTGGTCGTCTTCCGTACGTATGGTTGCAATAATATTGGTATTAAATGGCAGCGTCTCTTCTGGGTCTGCAAAGACACCCAATCGGTGTTTTAGCATTATGTGGAATTTTTCGGCTATCTGGTTTGGTACTACGATGTCTTTTATATCAGAGAAATTAACACTATTACATTTTACAAACTTAATTGTTTCGACTGAGTTTCCGATTTTTAATATTATATTTTTCAAGTCCAAAGTTGCATTTAGCAGTGTTAGCGTGTCAAATCCTAATATGGCGTCAAAGCTTGAGAGGTACGGTAGAATGAAGAAGGGAATAGTCTTGTTGAAAAGTTCAACAATGCATCTATGTTTTACCGTGTTGCAACTATGAAGAGACTTAACTGTAAATTCTTTTTGTACCGGCGTTATGTACTTAAGTTCTGTGAGTTGAAGAGCCGGGGTCGATTAAGATTTGACATGGTTTGACTCAACCTCCTGTGCTAGAGCAAGGGCTGTTGGTAAGTCCTTGGCTCCTTTGGCAAACAGGATATCGCTCAATGACTTCTTTGTGCCTGTTATAAATACACGTAACGCGTCAGCCCTATACTTTTCATTGAGTGACATCGCCAAGGGTTTATCGCACGACATTATAGTCTTATTTGTAAGCAGAGTCAATTTTTTCTCGACCTCATCATAAAATTCGGTGAGTGTCATATCACCCTGTCTCAACGTAGACAACTCTTGTTCGATTAGGTAGATGGGCCTTTTGTCAGCGTATGTAAAGTCAAGGCGATTGATTAGTGCCTTAAAATTCAACGGTGTGCTGAACGAAGCTAGCACGTTGTTTGCAGAGTTTTTAATTTTATTTCGGATAATACCAAGGGCTTGATAATATTTTGAACTACCCTCGTATGTTTCATAACCCTTAAAAGCGACATGAGCCGCTTTTCTCCACGACACATATTATGTATCACTTTCGCCCTCAAAGTCTGGCAGCGACTTTATTAAGTCTAGAGATTCATTACACACTACACCTGGTATGATTTCAGCATCTGTGTAAGTTTCAACTTTTGGGGTGTTCACTGTAAATTTTGCTATGCGCTCATTAATCGCTTGTAACTCTTTGTCAAATAATTCTTTTTGACTTGCAAGCGCGCCAGCAACGGCACTTTCTACTATTGCTTTCAGTTGATTCGCTGATAACTCCATTTCACTTGTTTTCTTTTCTGTTTTCGCGTTTCTTTTGCTTGCGGTATCTAATTGGCTAGTCTCTTTTAATATTCTATTCCAACTTGATATTAAGTCGTCTATCTCTTTATCACTGACACTCATCAATGTGTTATTTATAACCTTCAATAACCTTCACGTGTGTATGAACATTTTTATTTTATTTTTTAATAATTAAACAAGGGGCGTTGTACTTACAACTTGAGTGATGATTTAAAATAGTGCTTTTTATATTTTAATCGCTGTTTGAGTAGGTCTCCTTTTGATATCGTGCGTTTGAGATTTAGTTGTCTCCCTTTGACATCGTAGGTTTTAGATTTAGTTGTCTTCTTTGATATCGTGGGTTTTAGATTTAGTTGGGCGCCAATTATTGTTAGATGTGTTTCGTATATTTTTATTTGTATACAATTATAATATAATTTATGCGATCTGCACTTAATGAGGCGAATTTGTATGTTTGTGCGTGGCGATGACCGACGCTTTTGATCTCCAAATATCGACTACCTATTACAGAATAGATCTCTTATCTTTACCCTACGTTCCTCAGCAAAGCTTAGCTCTTGAGACGCTTGAATAAAGCCGGTAGATGCGAAGGTCTGCCACAAGCTGTGTGTAAATGCGCGACCGGCATTCGGCAAACGCGATGCGCGAAATGTGGCACGGAAAAGGTCTTAAATCAAAAAATTAGCTAAAAAAAAGAGACAATTTCATATTGGGAACTCCCCGACTAGCAGATACCCATTAATCAGCTAGGAAGTGCGAACGAGAAATTTCAACGTTATCTGGAATGTCGGTAGAAATTGGGGAAAAAATATATTGGAAAATCAAGTTAAGCATTTTTTAAGTGTAGGCGTGACAATTTTGAGCGGTTTGTGGGCATTAGAGTTGGCGTGGCAATCAGATTTAATGACAATTCAATAGAAATTTACAAGACTAATAATAAATGAGAAAATATCAAAAAAAAAATTTTAAGTGTAGGCGTGGCAGTTTTTTGCGGATTGTGGGCGTTAGATTGCTAGTGGCAATAAGATTTAAACTTGCGGTCCGTCTATGTCCCTTCTGCATGCCTAATCTCAACGGTCTAGCTTTTATAGTTCCTAGGATCTCGACGTTGCCAGATGGCCAGATCGACTCGTCTATTGATCCTGATCAAGAATACCTGTTACGTACTTTTTAACGAATCTAATATACCAATTTACTCTACGAGTAACGGAACATACGTGATGTCTTATTCTGATATAGCTTTTGGCTTTGATCAACATTTTTAAGGTTTGAAACATTAACTTAAAATAAGGGAAAGGTACCATTAACAAATAAATTTCATAAAAATCTTTTACAGAAGGTTTAGTTCGGTTGGGGATACTCCCAATATCACTCCTACATTACAGTTTAAATGAAATATATTAGTTTGGCAAATATCTCCCTTCCGCCTTTTTGTCTGTTGAATTTCGCGGCTATGTACAAAGCGCTACAGAGCTCATATCTGACAATACTATACATAATTTGAAAGGTCTTGACATAACCTACAAAACGACGCTATGCATGATTAGTTTGGATATTGCGTTCAACAGTTATAGACGTGTAAACATGGAGTTCACTAACGCCGAAATTCGCGCTATTTTAAAGTTTTCCTTGGTTAAAGGCAAATCCGCTAGAGAAACGTTCCGTGAGATTAATGGTGTTTTGGGGGATGGTACTCTATCACTTCGAACCGCGGAGGAATGGTTTCGACGATTCAGAGCCGGTGAAAACGACACCATGGATAAGCCAGCCGGCGGAAGACCTGTGACGACAAATACCGATCAAATCATGGAATACATCGAGTTAGACCGGCATGTGGCATCTCGTGACATCGCCCAGGAGATGGGAGTTAGTCACAAACCATTTTAAACCATCTGCAGAAGGCGGGATACAAAAAAAAGCTTGATGTTTGGGTGCCGCATGATTTGACGCAAAAAAACCTTCTGGACCGAATCAACGCCTGCGATATGCTGCTGAAACGGAACGAACTCGACCCATTCTTGAAGCGGATGGTGACTGGCGACGAAGAAAAGATCACATACGACAATATCAAGCGAAAACGGTCGTGGTCGAAGGCCGGTGAATCGTCCCAAACAGTGGCCAAGCCGGGATTGACGGCCAGGGAGGTTTTGCTGTGTGTTTGGTGGGACTGGAAGGGAATCATCCCCTATGAGCTGCTCCCATATGGCCAGACGCCTAATTCTACCATCTACTGCGAACAACTGGACCGCATGAAGCAGGCGATCGACCAGAAGCGTCCAGAATTGGCCAACAGGAAGGGTGTAGTGTTCCACGAAGACAACGCCAGACCACACACTTCGTTGATGACTCGTCAGAACCCGGACATAGCGCCAAATGATTACCACCTGTTCCTGTCCATGGCGAATGCCCTTGGTGGTGTAAAGTTTAACTCAAAAGAGGCTTGTGAAAAGTGGCTGTCCGAGTTCTTCGCAAATAAGGAGGGGGGCTTCTACGAGGGAGGTATTATGAAGTTGCCGTCTAGATGGAAACAGATTATCGAACAAAACGGCGCATATTTGAACTAAATCCGATCACTGTAACACTTTTTATAAAGCATTGAATAAAGAGCAAAAAAGCGGAAGGGAGATATTTGCCAACCTATTATTATAGTAATTTTTGTTATTTTATATAATGATTACGATATCTCGTTGAAAACAAAATGAAAAAGATTGATTATCAAACAAAAAAAAAATAGCCTCTAGGCTGCTATCTTTGTTATGGTGACCACACTTGCAAAATCAGAAATATATATACCTAATAGGGTCGTGTATACGCTTTCTTCTATCTGTTATACCATCTAACAAGTCTCGTATACCCTTTCAAATTTTTTTATTTTTATCAAAAATAATTTTAAATTATTCACTTCCTTATTTAGTTGAGACCGAGAATTAATAGACATGCATTCTAATTTTCTTTTTGACAGTCATGGTATGATTACAAACTTCGATGGGAACCAAAAGAATATGGTGGAGTTCATATGCTGCATGTTCCTTCAGACCATATATGGAGACCGGATATTGTTCTTTATAATAAGTAAGTAAACAGAAGCCCTTTTTTAAATTAGTATGTCTTTAATAAGTCTTATTACGTCTTAAGTTGATCAGGCTCTATACCCCATATAAGATTCATAATATTTAATAGTTTATTTCTAATATTGAACTGAATACTTCTAGATTTTAAGATTGTTTTTACTGACCGTTATTCTATAATTTTTAGAGAATATATTTGAACAGAAAAAGAATTATACATCTATTGTTAAATGATTAAAATATATTTAAAAAGTATTGTATTTCTTAGATTAAAGAATATAACACAAATAGCGAATAACCGCCACGATCTTGTAAGGTAAAAAACTTTTCAAGACAAATTTACAAATTTATGGCTAAACACTTCCACAATCTAGTAAAAGTCAAATAGTCCTTTCACTATGGTCCGCCAGACGCAGGACACAAATTCAATTACGATCTTTATATGTTATTAAATGCAATTCAAATACATTTTAGAATAAATTATTTGGCATGATTAGGGAGATTTTTCTATATTTAATATATTTATTTAGGCTAAGTTTCATTTCACCTCTTTAATTTGTAAAAAAAATTATTAATAAAAATTTTTTTTAGGTTACCCCCATAATTTTTAGAAAATAATTTTCTGAATTGAACAATTGTTTGCTTTGTCTTATGCCAAGTATATTTTTTGACGGATAATTATTTTAAAGCTACCTACACAGAGAAATTATTTGCTTTTTGGCAACAGTCGAATTAGAAATTGTAATAAGTATACTTGATACGCTAAAAGTATAAGTGTACAAAATTTTATATTCTTCATCAGGATCACTAGCCGAAACGATCTGACCATGCCCGTCTACCCGTGTGAACACTGTGGTCTTGGGGACCACAATAGCTAGAAAATTAGGATTAAAATTCAGCTTGAAGATAGTATAAACGTAGACGATTTGCACGTTGGTTTCAGAAGTTTTTCATGACCTCTCTCACTCTAACAAAAAGCCCAATACTGCCACGCCGTCTCTTTTAAAAAATGTTTTGAAGTTTTTATACCCGTTAACTGTAGAGTATCACGGTTTTCTATGTAAAAGTATGTAACAAGCAGAAAGAAGCGTCTCCGACCATATAAAGTATATATTCTTGATCATGATCAATAGCCGAGTCGATCTGGTCATGTATGAACGTCGAGATCTCAGGTACTAGAAAGGCTAGAAAGCTGAGATTAGGCATGCAGATTCCAGAGACATAAACATAAAAAGCGCAAGCTTGTTTCCAAATGTTGCCACGCTCACAAATCGCCCAAAACTGTCACGCCCACACTTTTAATAATGTGATATTTTTCCATTTTTATATATATTTTGTAAATTTCTATAGTTTCTATTTGCTACGCCCACTCTAACGCCCACAAACCGCCTATACAGTGACGCCCACTTTTAAAAAATTGTTTATTTATATATAGCATTCTCTTTTATTTTTCTAGCTCTATGAAATGAAATAAAATTCATGCATGAGATCAAGAGACAAAAAAATTATTTTCTAACATCGGAGTATTGTAATATCTAAAATTAAGGACGATTTTCTATTTAAAAAAAAAAAAGTGCTGAAAATTTAAGGCAACGCACCCTAAAATCAAGGGCACGCACCAGTAAGACAACGCGCCATGAAAACTTTTTCTTTCCCAATTTAAGTTCGATTTTATAAAAATTACGGGCGACTCTTTCATTGGCACTTAAAATCAAGTCCATAATTTGATCCTCTTCTTTTCTAAATCGACGGCTAAATTGCCTTAAAACTAAGGACATTGGACAAATACAAATCGCGAATTTTTCTTAGTGCATTAATCGTTGTGACGACAAGTAAATTACAACCGACATGGAGGATCTCTTGAAAGAAATGGGATCAGGAGTCAGGATTATTAGCCGAGTCGATCTGGTCTGTCCGTCCGTCCGTCTGTCCGTATGAACGCCTCGATCTCAGGAACTACAAAAGCTAGAAGATTAGATTAAGCATGCATGAGAAAAAACGTTTTGCCACGCCCACTCCTACGCCCACAAACCGCCCAATACTGTCACGCCAACACTTTTAAAAAATGTTGTGATATTTTTTCACTTTTTTAATATCTTGTAAATGTCTATAGGTTTGCCAGAAAACTTTGCCACACCCACTCTAACGCCCACAAACCGCATAAAACTCTCACGCCTACACTTTTAAAAAATTTTTAAGTTTTTTTCATTTTAATATTTTTTTCTCGTTTGCTGAGTAACGGGTATCTGACTATACATTTTATCTTGTCTTAATTTCTTTTCACCTTCGAAAAGAGACGGGGCATGTCAACAAAAAAATATAAAACAATATTTATTAAAAACTAGCATAAAATGTAATATATTGCGATGTGTGAAGGAAGAAAGAAAGTTAATAAATTCAGAGAACTAGTTTTTTAAGAGATGAAAAAGATTTTAAAGATTTAATCGATGCCCCGGATAGCAAAAGTACTAAACATCTAAAATACAAGTAAGCCGACTATTTATGTTGAATACTTTAAAGACAATGAATACCATCCGTGGCGAAGCATAGGAAACGAATAAATGCTGATTAAACATAAATTTAATAATATTACAGCTGCCCATGCAAGTCATGAAGCAGCGATTACAAATTTTGTGAATGTCAACTTTTACTAATGATCCTAATGATCCAAATGACATTTAACAGCAAACTCAACCATTTTATAAAAAATAATATATATATTATGTGTTTCCCTGGGTTGTCCCATGCCGCAGTCCGATGGGAAGGGGTGATGACGTAGTGCCGAAGTGGTCGGCTCCGCGGAGATCTTCCATCCTGGTGGTGCGCAAACGTTTTGGGTTCTGAATAAGTTTAGTGTATGTTGGGAGAACTTTCTCCGTTACTGTCTGCCTTTAAGGCTAGACAACCAATATAAAAAGTACAGCCTTCGCTGGAGTAGGTTCCTCAAGCAAGTTCTCTTAATTATAATTGAAATCAAACTGAAACTTATTCTACTTTACTCACGCTAATCGCGGACGGCAAGCCGACCGCTCGTCTGGCAAAAACAGCATTTCTCCCCATACTGGGAAAATCAATGGAAACCAGGCACGGCCCCTAAAGGCGTTTATGCTGAATCTGCATATAAAAATACTAGGGGAACAACCCCAGACAGGAACTCTACTTAGGTTTACTCATTAGTAGTTAACATAGTGTTAAGTTATGTACCGAGATACCCTTTATCCTATTTATCAATAACGTCAGTCCAAATCAATACGGCATACAACACACAACCACTTAGACATAAATCTTGTTGATGCTTTCTATCGACGGTATACTAGTTAAACATTCCACAATTTTAAACTTTTAAGCAAAGGGTCCAGCCTGTGAGCCCATTCGTCAGCATAAAAGTTTTGTCCATCACAAATTAATTAAAGAGAAGGTGCAGCCTGCAAACACAATCATCAGAACACAATTGTGGCCAATCAAACTCTTCTAATCAAACTGCTCATGTCGCTGTCACTCTAAAAGCCTTGCTTATAAGAATAATGCAAATTTGTAAAATCAGTTTTACATTGGAGTTCTAACCATAACCCTTTTACTATATCCTGAAGAAAAAACGTTATTATTGCACCCGGTAGGGTACAAGTAATACCTTTGCGAGAAACTACCTAAGAAAGATGAACAAATCACCAAAAAAATTTAAAAACTGTTGTTAACTAACTACGTTACAAAAATCACATATGAGGATTTCTATTGGCTAATATCCAAGACGTATCCATTAATCATTTCTTTCAGTAATTACTTATTTCTTATTTGACTCTCTTTAGTTAACGAATTAGTCTACAATTACCTTACAACATCAGAAGCAGAATCAAATATACCACTCTGGTAGGAACTGAGACTAAATATAAAAACAGCAAGTAGAATGTAGTAAGCTAAGTTTAGGCAATAATCCATTAAATTTCGGAAAACTACTAGTCAAAACATTTTCCCGTCCTAATAGACAATGCAGTAATAACAACAGAAATCATAGAACGTATCAAAACAAGCAAGGACAGGTTAGCCCGAGCCTCAGAGTACTAGTATTTACCAAATACGTGCCCGATCTAAGATCATATCAGCAACATAATCCGAGCTAATGGATACAATCGAAAACACCCCAGTATTTATATAAGTATTAGTATTACAAATATATTTTTATCTAAACAAACTTTTTTATAAAATCTTTTTTAAATCAACATGACATTCTTATGGGAAGAAAAATTCTAAAAGATGCTTTAGTCCAAATTGATTTTATAAAAAACTATAAAATTATTATACCAGTAACTCGTAGAGTAATGTCCGTCTGTGCGTTTGAACGCCTTGATCTCAGGAACTAAGAAAAGCAAGAATATTAAGATTAAGCAGAGACATAAACAAAATTGCAACTTTATTTCCAAATTTTCCTACGCCCACTCTAGCCCCCACAAACACAGCAGCAATTAAAATTAAAAGTAATAATAACTTATGCCCTCTGTCTTATTGACATAGGCTCAAGCATAGATTTAATAAACTAATCATTTTATAATAACCAATCAAAATGAAATATATTTAAAAATTCAAGCAATTGGAGAATAATCTTAACATTGAATAAATACATACATATGTCTGATATGTCTGTTGCCAGAAGTTCTAGGATGGATTGTTATTATTATTTATTGGTTTTTTTTTTTTATGGATTAATTCTTGAAGTCTAGTGTATGTTAGTTGAGGGTGAAGGCGGGATCATTATTAGGCTCTCTCTTGCTCTTTTCGAATTCGTCCCGCCTTCACCAACCTTCGTTAAGCTCTAAGTATGATTATATGGAAGTATAAGTCAAGAAATTTTAAATCGTCAAGCGTACACGCATTCCTTTCGTCGCCGCCGAAAAATTTCATTATTTTGCCACCAAAGTTTTTTTTAATAAACTAATTATGAATTGCAATATCTTTATGTTTATATTGGTATAAGTATTACAAAAATATTTTTATCTTAACAAACATTTT